CTTCATCCTTAATTTTAACGCTAGTTGATTTACCCTAGACAAAACACAGCAAACAGCGGAAGCACAAAGTCGTCATCTCCCTTGAAGACAACTGTAGCTTTACGAGCAGTGAGACCCTATGCACATCCACTGTATGCACCAGGGTACCTATGTACAGTGGGAAACTGAAGGGCAGCACGTCAAGGTGATCTCTGACACCTCTTTATACTGTGGGTTTATGTCAAACTCAATCTCTGCAACTGCTTCATTGTTGAATAGGATTTTACACCTATAATAAATGGTGATAGGAAAACTGTATCCTTCAAGATGGACTATCATATGCATGTACGCCAGAATAACAGCATTAAAAACTGCTGTCTGGTGCAAGGCCCTTACCATCCCCTTGTTAAAAACAATAAAAGGCCCCTCTGGCAATACACATCCCGCCTGTGACTGATTGTCATTTGAAACATTGCTTCAGAGAGGCTTTGAGTTGCTTGAGGAGTCACTTGTAGACAGAAGAAGAAAGAAACAAAGTTTCTACTTCTACCTGTCTGATCAGCAGATTTCAGTGTTCAGTTTTACTGCTCTTTAGTCACAAAACTCAAGCAGAATTTCTAAACTGCTATCATTCAGAGAATTCCTTTCAGTAAAGCAACACCTCCATAATCCAAAGCTACCTGATAGCCAGTGTTCAAAATGACAGTTAAATACGGAATCAATTACAAAGGTGTAGCCTCTACTTCACAAAATTCTATTTTTTTTAAACAGTGGTAATTAACAGACTGTACACACACAGTTACAGAACAAATCTATGGTCAAATCTTTGCATGTAATAGAACAGTTATTAGACAAAAAATATAATTTTTTCCTCTCTGGTGCATATTTCCATATTAAGCATTTTTTCTTCTAGTACACTTGCAAAAATTCAAATTAAGCAAGTGTCTACTAAACGTAGATTTATTCCTAGACTTTCACTTTGCTCGGTTTATGCAGACAAATGGTAACATTGCAGCAGTTTTATGGAGTTACCTCTGTATGCATGTATCGGAGCTGTAGCAGGAAACAGGAAGGAAAAACACATTGCAGCACTGTTCTGGCATGAAGCTCATCCATAGCTTTACCACAAATATGAACTCATTAATTATAGTATAATTCTACTCAACATTTTTCAAGCACTTTGGATCTGGTAATCCTTGATCAGATGGATGTTTCCACAAACCATAGTTCTTACTGGGAATTTCACGTATAGGAAATGCTGTGAACAGGAGCTGCAGCAAACTGCTTCATGAAGACGCTTTACTATCACTTCTTGCCTTCCCTACTGTCCTCTGAAACTGTTCTTTCCTTCTCTCTTCATCTTCTGCTGAATTTCCTTGTTTTCTATTCTTAATATTCAGTGTTCAGTACACTTGGAATAATGCTTATTTGAAGTAAATTCTTCTTTGAAATGTTTTCTCTCCTCCACTGAAGAAAGTTTTCTGCAGTGCTCTCATTCCATTTGCAGAACTTCAAGATATATACTTGCTTAGTTTTTTCACGACTCCATTTCAATATTTGGTCTTGCCCCTTATTGCTGTGCCCCAGTTCCTGCCAGTTTCACCTATTAATGCAATGGCTTTAACCAAAAAGTGACTTAATGTGAATAAATTCTTGTGATGTAAAACACTGTGGTATTGAAGAGCTAAGCACCCATCCCTGTTAACACAGTAAACTCTCTTCCTTCTGTTGCAAGCCTCAGCTTGTTAGCCTGTGGGCTCTACTGGCTTTTTTTCCATCCCACTTCCTGCTGCTCAGTAGCCAAAGGATTAGTATTAAGCAAAGTATTTGAAAGTCTCATCTGTAAATCTCTGGATCCCATAACAGCAAAAGCCGACGACAAAGTTCAATCACCACTGTCTTTAAAACTGGAGTTTGAAAAGAGCGTGAAGCATTCAAGAGCTTAAATTCAACTGACTTTGCAGAGACTTCCACTCTTGAGTTTTCCAACCCTCTTAAAACAAGGATTTCAAGGCACCCAATCATACAGGTACCCCTGAAAACAATAATTCCATATTTATTTTGTTTTGTTTATTTGTTTGTTTGTTTTTCCTGAAACCGCCCCTTACTTTTTTTAATTGCAATTTTACCACTTTTGTGCACTCACCTGTGTAATTGGAGGGGGGGGAGTGGGTTCATGTTCCTTTATTGTTCTTTTATAGTTTTATTATTTTCCCCTCATAGCTCTTTCTGTACAATTAGATATTCTTTGCCCTTGCCTGTGATGTTGCTGTGCATTATATACTTCACATTCCATGCATATTTGCCATTCAGCCCACGTTTCTAGCAAGAAGCTAGTGTTTCAATGCAGTTACCCTATACGCTGGGATGTATGTGGATGAAGGAAGACGAGACACTGGGAAGACATGCCAGGAGTTTCCATTGGCTCCGAGTGGACCAACGTTAACCCGACCCACTATTGTTTCAACTTTCGAGTGTTTTTAAATATATTACGATCTATTTCAGTATTTTTTTTTAAACTATGAAAGCAGATCTTTGACCTTTTATTAATGTTTTAGAAACTTACATTACATACCTGGTTAAGAAACTGACCAAGGGAAACATGACTTTTGTTTCTGTTAAGGAGGTTGCTGGTAATGGCTAAAAGTCATTGCTGCTTGTGATGTTCAGCTTTCGAAAATTGGAGTCTGTCGGTGCTGTAAATTCAGGACATAGCAATCTCAAGATTTCCGTTCACTGGTCAGCTATTCACAGGTCTCAGCGTTGACCAGGATAAGTAATTAAAGGTCCGAGTCGCATCTCAGTGACTTCCATTGCTCCACATAAAGATTACCAATGAGACACAAACATTTTCAATGTCTGTGCACAAATTCCTTTCTATACTGTGATCTTTAGTATTGCTGAATACATAATTTTTCATTACTAATTAAAATTATTTCTATGAGTTATATTTAGAAAGAGAATTAAATGTGTATGTTTCAATCCAGTAAACAGTACAAACATTCACTTGGAGCATTTTCTTGGATGAAGGTTACTTCATGATGACAAAGTTTTCACAGTCTTATGAACTAGGAACCAGAAGTCAAATACAAAAATCCCTCAATATGGAAAACTCTTTATTAAACATTTTAATACAATATTCAACAGTACAAAAATCAAGTGATGTATATACAGAGTTTTCTGTCAGGGACCTCAGACAAGGGATGTAGTGAAACTGATTTAGTTTACACTGAAGTTCAAAACATATTCATACATATTACTTTACAAAGACTTCTTTAGAAAAAATGTGCAACATCAATATCTATCAGTTGTTAACAAAAATCTAAAAATAAAAACATTTCCTTCCATTTTTTTCACATGCTATATACAAGAAAAGTAAAAAAGGTTACCTTCAATTTAACCCCTAACTTCTGAAATCATTTGCATATGGTCAGTGTCTAAAGTTTTATAATAGCGTTTTAATAACAGGTTATAACTATTTTTCGCTTATGCGTTTATTCACAGGTTCAGGCAAGCTTCCATAAGCCAGTACTCCTCTTTGGTAAACTGCTTGTTCAATTCCAAAGTTCTTTTTTTTCCTACTTTTTAAAGGAAATATCCACTAACCACTTTTAATATTGGCTTTCTCTATACACTTATCAACAACGAACATAGCCTCCTGGTTCATGACAAATAAACCCAGAATATTTTTTAATGTACCAGAAAATTATCAGAAGATATTTAGATGAAATTTTAAATGACAAATTGCATAATCTACTAAGCAGCCCTGAAAAATTGAAAATTAAAATGTCATCTACTGTCAAAATAATAATCTACGTCCAAGTCTTCCATCTTGCTTCCGAACTCCCTTAAAAAACAGCTGTTGTAAATATTAATTTTGCTCTGATGGAAGGCATTTGATTTGACAGGAATTTCTACATTAATCATCATTGAAGAAACATGTCCTGAATTAGTCCTACGGACTTCTGAATGCAAAGTAAAACCACTAAGTATTTTTTCTAGCCCAGAACTATTTTCAAGCCATGATTCACTAGATCAGATCTGTACCTCTAAATTTAGTCATACAATCTGATTATGTAAGATAGAAATGGCAGATCCGGGCAGTGTGATCTGACAGTAAAATTTAGCCAGATACGTGAGAGCCTTTGAAAACAAAGACCCAGCTAACAATCATGCTAACAACTTTGGTACTCAATAGGGCCACCTTAAAAATCATTACAATCTAGTGAATGTCAACAATCATTGTACAATTTTATACTGCCTTACTCTTCATGGCTTGACTTCAATTTTAGTGATAACCATTACACAGCCACATTCATAACTCTATCAAAATCTATAGTAACTGGTACACATAGCAGTTAACTCAGTATGATTAACAAGAAGAGTTCTGCCTAAATGTACATATCAGTGCAAAATCAAAGAAATCTCTAAAAACAGACAACCTCCCTGGTCAAACTGGCTGAGAATGGTAACATAAGATTGCACAAAGTAGTCTGAGAGAAAGTTTACTGAAGAGCTGCTTTTCCCTATCTCTGCTGGCATTGTTTATTTTAATACAGAAATGAACAAAGCAGCATCATTCTGACTATATTCTGAGTAAAACTCACCAGTTCAGACTAACCTCATCACTGCCTTTTTGAAGGACAGATGGGTACTAGATTGCTTCCATCAGCCCGATCCAAGCAGCCTCCGGTGAAAAGCTTAGCACCTCCACTTGCACTCAGATCATAAGGCTGTATGCCAGGAAAGTACTAAATGCATCAAAGCATAATTCCCATTCACATCAATATACAAACTAAAACTTCATACATACAGACTGAATTCCTAAGAAAGGAACAAAGGTGGGTTTTTTTGGTTGGTTTTTTTTTTTTTTTTTTTTAAATACAGTCTCCAATTCCAGAAAATCCCAAAATTTGATTCTTACTGGATTACTTCCCATCAGCAACACATCACTATACAACATCTTCTGCAACTGTAGTGTCAAAAATTTGGTAATAAACTTGATGTTTCACTGCATCTCTGACATTATAGGACTTGATGAAGCATTCCAGCCATGGCAAGTCATCTACAAACAAAATCCATATTATTATTTAATACTAATTTCTTAACTTTTATAGGAGAGAAGTGTAACTTGAGCAGGATTTTAACTCGGCTATCTAAATGTATACAACAGTTAATAGGGAGAAAAATGAATTACTAATTCTGAAATTCCAAATTGTATCTTAAAAGTTTCCTGCACCATCTGAAATGGTGTTCAGCAACAATCTTCCAAGCCTCACCCTCCCCGCCCCGGCGCCTCTCTGAAAAACTTGGTACCAGTAGTTGTACCACAGCATAGCACATATAGAGACTTCCCAATGATAAAAACTCATCTCCATGTATCTCAGTGAGGTAATTTCAGCAGACTGAACGGGAACATCCTTTACACCCTCCACAACAGGGCCACTTTTTGTAAGCATGGCAAAGACTCCAGCGTGGTTGTGGTGGTCACTGACAGCTATGTACTTAGAGGGAGTATGCTATCCAGAGGTCAGAGCTGCGGCAGAGACATACAGCGACCTTGGCCATGTGTACTTTAGGCAGAGCTACTTTCTGCCACAACAGAAATACTGCACAAAATCCTCTGTGACTGGATTAAGATTTTGCTCAATTTCCATTGATTTTTCCTGTAGCAAGGGATGCTCTAAATCAGCATGTACACTCAGAAGTAGAATCTCATCCAAAGCATGTGCCATACGCTGAATTCCCTTTCAGTTCTCCCTAACGTGCTGTGACATTCAGTACAAGGGTGTTCTGGTTAACTTCCATGTGAATACAGATGACATGCTAGTGCCTGCATAGACGTGACTGTGTTCACACATCACTGCATGCTACATGAGAATTTACTGAACCATTACTTCTTTCTGAAAAGGGAGCTTGACTATTAAAGAAATGTATCAAAACAAATTAATTGGAACTCTCCTTACAGACTCCTGCATTTCTCTGTTCTGAGTTTTGCCTATGCATAAACTGAATTCTGAGACTCTGCAGATGCAATACCAGATTGAAAGACCCTTTCCCTTCCCATCCCCCTTTTAAAATAGTGACAAGCTGACCTAATTTTCTTTCTGGAGGACAGAGCGTATTCATGGTCATCTGCATCTTTTGCTGAAGAAAATTATTAGTTAAGATTTCAGAGGCAGGAATTTGGAAAAACTTCTCCTGGAAGAGAACAGAAAAGTATGAGGTGTTGGCAGATAGGCAAGAAATCATTAGCCAGAACCCTGACTGCATGTTCTTTTATCATTTAAGAAACTTAAAATTATCCAGACAGGTAACACAACAGAAGAACAATATTATTTCCAAAAATGTTCAGATACCGAAAAAAACCAAAATGTCTGAAAAAATTAATAGTTTGTATTTCAGTACCCCTGAGTACTCAGAGACTACAGCCATTCAGAAAGCACACATGTAGGTCTGCATATATAAATATACATAGCAGATATTCCTCATACACCTCCATAACCGGATAATGTTATGGTCAGAAGGGATGGTCACTTCTCCTCAACAGTCCCTCAGTGCAGTGAGCAGAACATTTTGAGAGGCACAAAGCCACTTGAAAACAAGGGGGCACTGCAACCTGGCTTCGTACAACTGGAACTCCCTCAGTTTGAGTTTCATTATTTGATAGTTTTAGAATCTACGGAGAAAAACTTATACTGTGGGATACATTTCTGAATGGAGGAGTAAAATGAAGAATGGAACACTGAAATGTTAAATAAACCCTTCCTGTGTATTTTTAAACCATGTAGATGAAGCATGATCGACAAAATTTTATTCTTTCCAAGTTTGTACCTGATTTTGTATCTGTAAAGGCTCATCATCTTATACCTTCTCAAAGTGAGCTAAAGTTTTTGATGGCAATTTCTCCTTTTTGTTAAAAGATACAAATACAGCATAATCTCTCTTTGTATAATTTTTGTATATGTTTAATGGAAGTGATCAGAAGTTAGCGGATAATCCAGTAGCAAAATTGACACAGATAAACACTTTTTCCTCTCACTCTTTGAATTCTTCTTCTGACTATAAAACTTCTTGACTTTTTCCTTCAATGACTTCTCCTATAAAAGGGGAGGAAAGAAAAGAACTGAGGGCGTTCCTACACAAGTGGGACTGGAAGCTAGTGTAAAGTTGCACTTCAAAGTAGCCCAGTTCCTTCTCAAGTGGTGCTGAAGGACCCAAGTTTAGGCAAGAAATTGTGGGTTTTATTCTTGCAGCTAAAGTTGTAGTACTGGGCAGTATCTGATAAGAATCTGAGCTACGCTGAAGTAGAGATTTTGAGAATTCTGCATCAAGAGATGGTTTAAAATCTTTTTCCCCACTGTCCTTTTGCAGTTTAGTTTCTCAGCGTAAAAAGGAAAAAGGACAGTAGCAGGAGAAGATGACTAGCTGAAATGGGGATTGCAGTCTTTGACCTCCTTCGCTGATAGTTTGCTGTGTATGTTAAGAAAACACACTTATATTTCTCTCAATATAACAAGTCTTAAAATTAAACAAGGAAGAGTATTGCCTTCAAAGTCCAATTCAAGGTCATTTAGTACAATGGTGGAAAAAAAAGTAGGAAAAAAAATCACCCTACTAAATTGTTTCTCTGTCCCATTTTGCACAAAGTTATAACTCTGAAGTGCCACTACACTGACTCTTTTACACTTAGGTAGACAGATTACTCCAAATGTGAGATCCTGATATTCACAGCTATGAATTGCTGAAATAAGAAAATACACAAATGCACTTTCAGAAGAACAAAGGTACAATGTAATACCATTCTATTTTAGATTATAATTCTCGTCTTTACCAAGTTTTCTTGCTTTTTCACAATTTTCCCTTTTCAAAATGATTGACATACCTTCTCAAAATTTAGGGTAGTAATTAAAACAGGTGCATGCATGTGCATACAAAAACCAAACCGAAACAAACAAAAAACCCAAAAGGTACAACAAAAGGAAAAAAACCCACAAAGTATGTAGCAACAGCTATTTCTACTGCATACAAAAATACATGTAAAGGAGTAAATTCTCTAAGGAGGATGCTAGACATATCGAATTCATCTCCAGCCCTAAACTGGAGATGTAGGAAGCAATGACCAGCTCTTGTCAGTCAGAAATCCTCCACCTTCAGCATCACGTAAAATTCTTACTCAAACCACCTTTGTGCTTCAAATTTCTAATCTAATAATAAAGCTTATGAATCAGAGTAAAAAGGAAAGAAATAAAAAAAATCCTGAAGAGTAATTGGTAGTTTACTGTCAAAATGGGAGATGTCCAAAGTGGATTCTGCAGGGGGTTGTCCCAAGTTTGGCAATTTTGAGAATTTTCATTAGTGACACGCTTTGTGGAATAGCAAATAGGCCCACTATGTTTACAGACAAAACTAAGCTGTGGGAACTGCAAACATACAACAGTAAAGAATTAGAACTAATTTTTTATGAACTTGAGAGCTAGTAGGACAAAAAAACCCCAACCCCTCACACTTTCAACTAGATACATGTATAAAATACTACTTTTAAGCAAGCCAAATCAACTGCTCAAAAAAGGAATAAGTAAAAATTTAGTAAGCCAAGGTTCTGCTCAGAGATGAAGGGATTATACTATGAATCAGTAAGCAAGAAATCAAGTGATCACCATACTGGTTTATACATATAGAAACATTATCTAGCAATGCCTCATGCTAGGGTACTGTTTTAGAACTTCAAGGAAGATGTGGACCACCTGGGAAGAATGTAGAAAAACAACAGTGAGGATGGTCAGAGTTTTCAAAGAACTCTGATACGGAGGAAAAAAACCCCTGTGTTATCAAAAAAACCCCTCTTATACAGAAAAAGATAGAATGAATGGTGTTTTTTTAGCCTTCAGAAGGTAAACTCATTATGCAGTCTGTAATGACAGGAAAACCATCCATTCTTCAGTGCCTCAGGTAGTAGGAATGGTCTTCAGTTACTTCAGAGAAAACTGAAGACAGGCTAATTCTAAGGATAGCAAAGTAGTTGAATGAACTGCTTCTGGAATCAAAGACAAACATCAGCAACAGCTGAGTCCTATCTAGGTTCAGGGGAAGCAAGGCCTCTTCTACCTCATGGTCATATGAAATAAAAATCAAGAATTACTGAATGGATAGATTCTACTGAGAGTTAAAAAATGAGGTAACGAGATTTTGAACTAATCCAGAAGTTACCTGCATAAATCCTGAAACACTCCTATCATTCACACAGGATTCAGGCTGCCTAATTTAACATTGCCAATAAAAGAGAAATTCAGCCATGGAAATGTATAAAAGTCTGTGGAAAAAACAAACAATCTGTCTAAAAGCTTCAGTTTTGTCTTTATGCTTTAATATTCTGTAGTCTGATCTTTTATTGAGAAATTACTAAAAATTCCATTCTGTGCATCTTCATTTACGCACAGTATTAAAAACATTACAGTACTTCTAACTGTCCCCAGAAAACACTGCAGGTAACATAGAATGAGTATTTCTATACAGAATCACAGAATGGTAGGGGTTGGAAGGGACCTCTGTGGGTCATCTAGTCCAACCCCCTGCCGAAGCAGGGTCGCCTACATCAGGCTGCACAGGACCTTGTCCAGGCTGGTCTTGAATATCTCCAGAGAAGGAGACTCCACAACCTCCCTGAGCAGCCTGTTCCAGTGCTCCGTCACCCTCAGCGGGAAGAATTTCTTCCTCATGTTCAGACGGAACTTCCTATGCTTCAATTTGTGCCCATTGCCCCTTGTCCTGTCGCTGGGCACCACTGAAAAGAGTTTAGCCCCATCGTCTTGACGCCCACCCTTGAGATATTTATAAACATTTATTAGGTCCCCTCGCAACCTTCTCTTCTTCAGGCTGAACAAGTCCAGCTCCCTCAGCCTGTCCTCATAGGAGAGATGCTCCAGTCCCCTCATCATCCTCATAGCCCTCCGCTGGACTCTCTCCAGTATTTGCTATTTTGAAAGCAAATAAAATCCAGACCCACATAATTTCTATAGTTTACCTAGATTTACTTACATAATCAAAAAGGTATGCATTTAGTGCTCCTGTTCCATCAACCAGTGTAAACCTCATAACAAAAACATACTGGAGTGGCTCAATACCTAAAACTGATGGAAAAAAAAAACTTGATCTGTTTCTTAGAGCTAATATGCAAGACAAACCCCAACAACTCAAGCTGACAATATGCCTCCTTTAATAGTAACTGACTTTGAATACTGTAAGTAAAAGTATAAATTGATAGGTCAAATAATAGAGGCTCTGAATAGCAAAATGTGGTTTATATTTAAGAGTGCATTGCAGTTTCCCTAGAAACACTTTAATAGATGAGTCTATAAAAATGCAAAAAGATTTTTAAGTACTAATCCTCATCCTCGAAAAAGAGATGCTAATATTTGCTTAGATCTTAGATCCTACCTTGGTAGGATCCTCCTACTCCTGTTCTTTTATCCATGGAATATTAAAGGAGACTTGCTCTTAATGCAGTGGTAATAAGATAGCATTCCACCTGAAAACGTATCTTCTGAGGAAAACAATTTGTTTCATATGATGTAGTAAAAGCTACCAGGCAAAGTCTTATTCAGAAAAACTTTGCTGGCAGTTCTGAAAATATTCTACCATAAGTAAATTACTATAGTCATTCTTTCACTAGCAGCAGTAACTGTTATGCTACAAACATAAAATATCTTAAACACACAAAGTTATTGCAACTCTGCATCAGTCTTCTCCGGGTACATTTACTGAAACTGGCTAGTCATTTTATGTTCAATTGATCTGATATACTTCCAGGTTATCATTTAGCTTGAAAATACAGATGATAAAAGAAGAATAATTTAAATGCCAGAAAGCATTTAGTGAATATTGTTTTCATTTTGAGAATTAAATGTCAATCACAGGTACTATAACACTGTCAGTTGTATATTGCTTTACATTAACTTAGTAGAATATAATTGACAGTTTATTTAATAGTAGCTCTGTATTGCTTGAATAGTTTTTTTCTTTTGTAAAGTCTTTACCAAGCTTAGGTACTGCCAGATATTCCAACTAAATGTATTAGAACATGAATTGATAAAGATGAAAATACTCTTTTTCTTTAATGTGGTGTGAAGTTTTAAGCTCCATTTTACCTCCAGCATTTGAATGTGTTGACTACATAAAGTAACACAAGAAACACACAAAGCATAGAACACACATGTATGTTATGGTATAATTCCTTTAATTTGAATATTATTTCTTGGAGACTCTCTGGAATAAGCTTAGCATTGATAAGGCTTAAAGAAGAGAAACGCCCAACTTGCACTAGTCATCAAATAAGACTCTCTCTAGTTCAAGTCAGAAAAACTGTATTTTCAAAAAGAAAAGCAAGACTAACTTCTAGGAGTGCAAGATGTACACAGTTTAAAAATGACATCTGCAAAGATAAAAAAGCCCAAAAATTCATCACATCTGTACTATGATAGGTGTTACTAGTGACACCTATGGTAGAAAAAACTATTCAACATATAAAATCCTTTCATTCATACTGTAATTTACTTTTAAAAGTATGTTATTTCAACTGGTAAAAGTTGAACAGATTTTACAGCTTTATACTCAAGCATAACCATAAATTACATGCTTTCTGTACTAAACTACAACCCAGAAACCAAACTATTTCACATAAATGCTTCAGAATCAAGGCACAGAACTTTTTCAGGACAATATCATGTCAGCTGACCTTGTGCTATTTCAGTTGGTTCCCATGATGGTCGTTGTTCTGCTGCAATGGAACTTAGACTCTTGATAGGCTTTGGAGTTGAACACTGCTTGCACCTAGCATTTAAAACAAGATACTGAGATGAACCAAACACTGATTTATTTAGACTAGAAGCTTTCTGCACAGGAAAAAAAAAAATCTGATTTCCTTATTCAGTGGGAGTGCAAAAATATTTCTACTGCTGTTTAAAATAACTATTTTACCAAATACACAAGCTTTAGACCACAACAAAACTCTTTAATACTGCTTTTGAATTATTCCTGAGAAGAAATAAATCATTATGGTCTGGAAAAGACCACCTCAGTGAATAGAAAGGAAGAAAACTGTACATCAAGGCTGAAAGAGTTGGAGTTGTTCAGCCTGGAGAACAGCAGACTCTTTGGAGACCTTATTGCAGCCTTTCAATACATAAAGAGGGCTTATAAGAAAGACAGAGACTTTTTACCAAGGCCCATACTGACAGGACATGGGACAATGGTTTAAACAAGGTTGATTTAGATTGTACGTAAGGCAGAAATCATAGAATCATAGATTGGAAAAGACCTCTAAGATCATCAAGTCCAAACATCAACCCAACACCACCATGCCTACTAAACCATGTCCCAAAGTGCCATATCCACATATTTTTTGAACGCCTCCAGGGATGGTGACTCCACCACCTCCCTGGGCAGCCTGTTCCAATGCCTGACCACTCTCTCAATAAAGAAATTTATCGTAGTATCTATTCTAAAGCTCCCCTAACGCAACTTGAGGCCATTGCCTGTTTTCCTATCGCTAGTTACCTGGGAGAAGAGACCAACACCTGCCTTACTACAACCTCCTTTCAGGTGATTGTAGAGAGCAATAAGGTCACCCCTCAGCCTCCTCTTCTCCAGACTAAACAACCCCAGTTCCTTCAGATGCTCCTCGTAAGACTTGTTCCCTAGACCCCTCACCAGCCTCGTTGTCCTGCTCTGGGCACGCTCCAGCAACTCAGTGTCTTTCTTGGCCCAAAACTGAACACAGTACTCCAGATGTGGCCTCACCAGTTTCAAATATAGGGGTACAATCACCTCCCTACTCCTGCTGGCCACACTATTCCTGATACAAGTCAGGATGCCGTTGGCCTTCTTGGCCACCTGGGCACACTGCTGGCTCATGTTCAGCTGGCTGTTGACCAGCACCCCAAGATCTTTTTGCAATGGGCAGCTTTCCAGCCACTCTTCCCCAAGCCTGTAATGTTGCATGGGGTTGTTGTGACCCAAGTGCAGGACCCGGCACTTGGCCTTGTTGAACCTCATACAGTTGGCCTTGGCCCATCGATCCTGTCTGTCCAGATCCCTCTGCAGAGCCTTCCTACCCTTAAGCAGATCGACACTCCTGCCCGACTTGGTGTCATCTGGAAACTTACTGAGGGAGCACTCAATCCCCTCGTCCAGATCATTGATAAAAATGTTAAACAAGACCAGACCCCAAACTGAGCCCTGGGGAACACCGCTTGTGACCAGCCGCCAGCTGAATTTAACTCCATTCACCACCACTCTGTTCTTGGCCATTCAGCCAGTTCTTTATCCAGCAGCATACACCCATCCAAACCATGGGCAGATAGTTTCTCCAGGAGGATACTGTGGGGAACAGTGTCAAAGGACTTACTAAACTCCAGGTAGACAACATCCACAGCCTTTCCCTCATCCACTAGGTGGGTCACGTGGTAAATTCTTTACAATGAGGGTGGTGAAACACTAGAACAGGTTGCCCAGAGAAGTTGTGGGTGCCCAGTCACTGGAACTGCTCAAGGCCAGGTGGCACAGGGCTTTGAGAAACATGGTCTAGTGAAACATGTCCCTGCTCACTGCAGAGGAGTTGGACTAGATGACCTTTAAATGTCCCTTCCAGCCTAAATCATTCTATGATTCTAAGATCACTACATTGATAAACATATATTCATATGTTACTGCTAGAATATATTCATGTCAGTACTTTGTTGTTTAGCAACGCAAACAACATCCCACTTTGTAAAAGCAGGATTGAATCTGAGGTTGCTCTAAAAATGCAACAGGGTTAGACGAGAAATTTGACTTTACCTATGTTAAAAAATATTGACTCTGAGTTATCAAAACAATGTCTTACATGTGACATAGTCAGCAAATTCTGCAAGTGGATGAAAATATTGAAGAACTGTTTTCAAAGTTGTTCTCATTTGCCTCAAGAAATAAAATTACAAAACAACTGTTTTTTCCAAGTTAAGCTTCTGTGCTAGTATACTACAGTTAGAAATTAAAATAGACATTATCTTTTAGAATTACACGCACAACATGTTATAAAAATCAATAGCACCATTTCTGCTCAAGTGATGTATAACCAAGCTCAATGAAGTTACTTTTTTCCTTTTAAAAAACACCCAAACTCCAATAAAGTAACTTAGCTCTGAATTTTGGTTTTTATATGCAAGTATGTGTGTGTTTATTTTTTTGTATATATATATGAATAGACATGCATATGCACACACACACATTTACACAGGTAATCAAGCTCATTCCTACAGCAAAAATATCTTTGCTTTTGATTCTACCATACAGAATCTTTTTTAGAATTTGCTAAGTATATGCAACTGATAAAAAAGCATGTGGAACAAAGCTCTGAAATGTCAACATCCTTGTGAGGTTCCTTCCTAAATATCCTATAAGCAATCATGGAATATCTTATGAAGCACTGACTTTTACGACACAGTCTTTGTTAAACAGAGAACTATGTCTGAAGATGAGTTGTGCGTAGCTGGGGAAATACACAGATTATGAAAGTGCAAGGGGAAATACTTTGTACTGGTGAAGATCCACTCCCAGCAGGATTTTTATACTGCCTTTATTTAAAAAAAGCTGTGGACAGCCGTATCTGGAAAGGTCAAAACAATATATGACAAAGAGAAATAATTACCTGTATTCATTTTATCAGGCCCTTATGGGAAACCTTAGGGTTCATGTGAAACATGCAATATTTCTGCAATGGAATTTTTTACTGCCTACAGGACTGAAGTAGTGCAACACAGCACTCCGCTTGAAGTTATTAGGAATGCTGAGAGGGATGACTCAATAGCTTGCGTGAAGCAGACTGGTATTTCTGAGCTTGGTAACTGCATGCTGCTCGGTAACTCATGCTGCATTTGGGTGTGGCACTTTGGGATATGGGTTAGTAGGCATGGTGGTGTTGGGTGGATCGTTGGACTTCATGATCTTAGAGGTCTTTTCCAACCTATGACACTACGATTCTGCTGTGCAGTACTGGGAGAACATACTGCTGCTGGATCTCATGGAGCAGGAACACAGTCTCCCATGGCATAGCACAGATCATAGAATCATACAATCATTAAGGTTGGAAAAGACCTCCAAGATCATCAAGTCCAACCATCAACCCAATACCACCATGCCTATGAAACCATATCCCAAAGTGCCACATCTACACATTTTTTGAACACCTCCAGGGATGGCGAGTCCACCACCTCCCTGGGCAGCCTGTTCCAATGTCTGACCAAATACCAGACCTAGATGTGTGTACTGTGTTCTACAGCCTTGGAACTGTGGAATTCAGAAACCCATTGAAGCTGTCTCTGCAGTGACTTGACAACCACAAACAGGTAAGCCACTTTGCAGCGTTGCAGATCTCTGTAAATGGCAAATGGTGAGGAAAGGCTGTCCAAAATCCCTTATTTGTTCCAAAACCCAAGCTTTCCCAATACTAGGAAAGACACAGAGAATGAGACGAGGATTGACAGCCTGAAATTATTCACTGGGTCTCTATTTAAATATTATTTATGTACAAAAAACCAGCATAGTTTTGAAGCAATGTTTTGACTTAGTCTAATGAGTGGGACCAGAAAATAGTATTTTTCTGGCCAGAAAAAGGAAGCTCTAGACTAAAACAGGAAGATTTAGGCATTTTGCAGCCTAAAGAGTCTCGTGTATACTTCTGTCTCTGTAGTATACTGACCTACCCACACACCACAGGCAAGACTGAACCTGGGTGCTGTGTGATTAAGAGCATAAGATTTACAGAGCAAGATAAAGCCCAACTGCAGTTGAGTTATTTGACACAAGGTAGCAGCATGGCATTTCATCCCTGATCTCAGTACTGCTAATCATGTTACATATTTTGCATCAAAGAATCCTTGGGTAGGTTATCCCTTGAGCACTGTGGTTTGAATTACTAAAGAAAATTTTATCTATCTATTACTACAACTACTAAAATCTCAACAAACACTTTTAACCTACCCATAATATTTTATGTTCCCTTGTAAAAGAAAAGGAGTTGAAAGATCTAATAATTCAAGATCATCTTCTGTGGATCTCACAGGAATAACACATTTAAATCTTTTTGTAAGCTTCCAGACTTCTTTTAGTGTCCCACCTATTAAAAACACAAAAACATGGTTTTTTAAACTGTAATTGAGAATAAATTGAACAACTTGAATTCCTTCGCTGATCAGATGTTGATTTTAGGACCTTCAATACAAACGGATACCCACTATGGAAAACTGAAAAAATGGTCCATAACCTCCTCACTCTTACTCAACAACAGACTCAATAAAGAATCAAAGATGGACATTTATAAAAGTAGATGCCTTAATATCTTCCTCATAGCTATATCGGTGTCCTGGTTTTGGCTACGATAGAGTTAATTTTCACCAGAACCTGGGAAGGGACACAGCAGGGCCCAAACTACCCAAAAAGGCTATTCGATATCATGTGACATCATGCTCAGTGTATAGCTGGGGGAGCTGGCTGTGGCAGGTTAAGTGCTCCTCGGGGGCAAGCTGGGCACTGAGCAGTGAGCAAATTCCACTGTGTATCCCTGGCTTTGTATATTCTTTTTATCAGTATAATTGTTATTTTTCTCCTGCTTTGCTGTTCTGTTGAACTATCTTTATCCTACCCCAGGAGTTTTGCCTCTTTTTTTCCCCATTGTCCTCCCCACTCCACTGGGCAGAGGAGTGAGCGAGCGGCCGCGTGGTTCTTTGCTGTTGGCTGGGACTAAACCACAACACACTGTAACCATGAAGTTGTATTAGTTAGCATCATTTTCATATAATTAATCCTAAGATTTTACTAGCAGTTTTCTTGGGGGGACATATGAAAAAAAAAATGACTAAACTGACTTTTTGAAATTTCTCCTAAGTAACTTCCTTTTCAGCTTTTAAGTGGCAAAAATCTATTAATATTCAACCAGCAGTTTATGAAAAAGTAGTTATTCTATCATGTCCTAAGTGATGTGAGGTGGAAAATGCAGAACCACCAAACTTCATGCTAACTTGAGTGCTACTAAATTGGGCCCATGCTAGTAACACAGCAGAAATATAATATATTACAGCTGGAACCCTGAGATTTTCCAGTTCCAGTGACAAGAAAATTTATTATAAATCATGGGATAAGCTGCCTTCAGTCTCTGTAGTATGGACTGCAGAACTGATTACGGCATCTTTCTGACATTTCACCAACGCACTACAAATGTGGTAAATTTATTAATTTAACACACAGAGAAGAGTTATTTGGAAACAGTTCGATAAATATATATGATTTAATCAGGTTGGGAACACAACAAAAAAAAGTGAGCAAATTGTTTTAAAACAAATATATTCTAGAACTGTGTCGTTTTCCACTAACTGTAACTAAGATGTTTCAAAGACTTTATGACAAGTAATTACAACACTGGATTGTAAAATATTTATTGTATATACTTGTTACCTTTATTGCAGAGGTAACCAGAGAAAAAAATAAAATCAATAAAAATGCATTATTCCTCGTGATAGAAAAAAGCACAATAATATGAAACCTCCCCTAGTAAAAAAAAAAAAAAAGAAAACAGAGCCACAGATATTTGAAATAGCTTCCTGAAAGGTCAGAAAACAAAGGTCCTCCAAGTACAGTAACACAGATAAAGTCTCTCATACACATTTGAACTCTGATTCAAGGCATTAACATAGGAAATTCAGGGTAGTTATAACTGTCATTGCTAAAAGGTCTCCAGAATTTCAACTTCACTGTAATACGAAGTTACATTGAGAAAATGTATTCTAGCTTCTCAGAAACTGGCATAAAACACTGAGAATTACCAGAGGCTGACAATGATATGAATCACAGTGATTTCATGTGAAATAATGAGGATATGCAAGGAGCATTAAGTCTACTTGTTAACTGTAACATTTTGCTCTTCAGTTCAACTAATCTGTAGCAATGGTTACAGATTCCCTTTACTCCCTGCAGATGGTCACGTAAAATTCTGTCCATTATCTAACTATTTCCTCAATTCCAGTCCAACAGGTGCCAAACACTCAAAAAGAAGTCCTTGCTTCAGCATAATGATTATGGGAAAGAACAGAGTATCGTGTTGTAGAAGAGTACATTGCTGTGTTTAACAAATAGAATCTAGACCACATCTGTCTAATGAGTGTCATAATGTGTTTGGCCTTTGAGGGTACTCTGTATCTGAAAAAGTGCTGGGAATATTTCTAGAGGGACTTCAAAAATCTCCACCTCCAAAAACCTTAAAGACAAAAATTAAAACAGCATGTAGCTTCGGCAAGGTTCATGATCAATGTGCTGGGAAAAAAGTGCCAAAACACTGATTATGCCTTTTCCTTGTGCTCCAACATGAAGCACATTTATCCACATACACACACACTTAGCTGCTGGCACTTTAATATCTTAAAAAAAGATTTGCCAAGTTATATTGTTCAGCTATTTTAAGAAAACAGTAGAAATTGATTCTTTTTTCTTTTATTTTCACACAGATAAGGTTAGGTTGAAAAAAAAAAATCCAGTTTGGAACATGTCAGAAATAAAGCAGCTATCAGAACTAGTTCAATATAAAACAAAACAGAAAAAAGAAGGGGTTTGGTCACTGACCCTCACACAAAGGACCATCTGACTTACATTTGCTTATTCACACCAGTACATGAGCACAATTGAAGACTGTTTTAATTCTGAATGGTATTGCATGCAATTATTTCTTTCATTCTATTCAAAACATTCCTTATTAGTATTGCTAAACTGCTTTGTTTAAAGTTCAGTGGCTATTTCTCTTCCCTGAGGAAATCTGATAAACACTAAACCAAAAAAAGCCTCATGCTGCGAGAAGCTCTATCGATCTGAAACAACACTGACATCCAGAGGCTAACAAAGTTAATTGTAGATTGTATTATCAGAAGCCTTCCAAAACTTTTTCACATCAAGACTAAAGATAGGTTTTTTTAGAAGAGTCAGTGAGTTCAAATCAGAACTGAAAAATCATTAAGCAGAGCTAGAACCGCTCCCCCCCCCATTAGATGATAATTTTAGCAGAATCAACAATAAACTTCCTGGTATAGTTTTAAAATAGACAGAAGCGCCTTACAAGACCTTCACAGATGACTTTTTCCTGTTTGCACAACAGTAACTTAAAGTTCCAGCTGAGTTTTTCTTTTCTTTGAAGATGCCTTTATGATCATCACCACTCACACTGAACACAACTTCAAAAATTTATCTTACCTTCTATCATAAGCAAAGTGTCTTCAGGCTGTTGAAGCATTTCGTCATGCTTTACAAAATGGATAGCTATTTTCCTTTCTTTATGGTCTTGTGTAGTCCACATTACAGAATCATACCAAGATGTATTTTGTAATTCTAAGTTTGGAGCAGTACAGGCAGAGCTTTGTAAATTTAAGTCAAAGTCATCTCCGTCTGGAACTTCTCTCCTAAAACCATTTCCAAAATGAATAAGTAAATTCTAACAGCTTCTCCTTAGGCAATTTAGCAACAAGGATGACAGTACTCTGAATAAATGTTAAAATATAGTCATGAGAGTTAAAGTACATACAGGAAAAATAACTTTGTTTTTATATCAGTCTAAACATTTAGAGTTGTATAGCAAACTATAACAAGATAATTAATTTACATTTTAACAAATATGCTAAGTAATCTAATCTTTCCCAGGAACAGAGGCAGCCTAGTGGCTTCATCCACACTTAGGTAAATCCATGGAAAAACAAATATATCAGCTGCATTCATATAATTTAAAGTTTTATGTTCTAGCCTATTTTACTTTGCATATTTTGAGGGAGAAAAAAGAAAAAAGGGCAGGAGCAGAATAGCTTCACATACGTACTGTAAAGGGAAAAAACTGCAGCTCTGAACCACACAGTTTCTTTCCCGTCCTGCCAGAGCACACCATTTGTGCATTTCCAGTTGTCATCCACAGAGAAGTAATGCAGGCCATTCAAATTTTACCAATATTACCAACAACAGGCAAAAGGCCAGTGGTTGGCACACAAATTAAAAACGCATTAGAATGTTGTCTCCTAAGCAAGACAGACCTGCTGGCTTCAGGTGGAATATGAACTGGGACAAAAAGGACAATGAAAAAAAAAAAAAGGTAAAAGCTTCAGCTATCTCATAAAACACTGAAAAAAAGTAGCTGCCAAGCTTCAGAGTGGAGTTAAAGAAAAAATACCATCAACTCCTGCAGATTATTCTGAAGCTTTCGCTTTCAAACCCAAGAGCAGCTGCTTCCACCCGTGAACAGAAGAATTCCTGCCTATGAAACCAAACTTTGATATTCTTCTGCTACGACTGCAGAATTGGCACACAAGAGGTCTTCCTGAACCTGAACTTTCATTTCACAAACACAGTGCTGTTCACATGAACTCCTTCCACTTGTGTCCCTGGATTACTATTTTCAATGCAAAAGCAACGGACCTAATTTAACAGGTCATCTTGCCACATACACCCATTGAACTCTTCCAGCCTCTACAGCCTGCCTCTAGATTTCTTGCAGCGACAGGAAAGAAATGAAGTGTTTTTGAACTAAGCTAAACACAATGGTTGAAATATCTGTAACATGGATACAAGAACAAAACTATATCAATATTTTGCTATTTACAGAGAAGCTTCCAGTCGAAGTCTAAAAAACAAAAATAGAGCTCTCACAAGGCTTCTGTACCCCAAGCATTATATGCATCTTACTGCATAAAGTGTTAAAGGATCAAATTTGTGCTGAACTTTCTTCGGTCAGGCTCTTCAGCATATGCTAAAACACGAAACAACTTCTGCCACAACAAAACACGTAGGAGAGAAGGATGCCCCGAAATCAAGTTTCCTTCCTGGGGGCCTCTTAACTCACCCCATCCAGGCTACAGTATAGGTCAGCTATATTTCCCTGATTCCTTCCACTTGATGCACACAGTTGAGAAAAGAGAAGCTAAATTTCTGGGAAAGCACTGCACGTAGTCCCGTCATTGCAGCAGGATGGTGGTAGTAGCAGTAGTAGGAAATATGCTAACTAAAGCGTCACAAATCTATCTGGTTAAAAGTCTGCCCTAATTCTGTGGCAAGGAGAAGACAGCAATACGTGAAACAGGAGGAGACTCAAATGAACAGAAATGAAGACATTAACAAGTCAGGAATACATAAAAAAGGCTATAGTAGTCATGCAAAATTGTGGCATAATGGTAAAGTTCGTAATGAACAAATAAAATTCTACCAATTTTATCTATTTGTTTACTATACAGAGGTGGCAAATATAACAAAAAACTGACAAAAGTGCAATAATCTCCCTTTTTATACTTGGTAATAAAGACCATGTGCTTGTATGTTGTGAAGATAATGAAGTGCTTTCTCTTACATTAGCAACCAAGACAATGTCCAAATGGATGCTGGTGACAAGTGGTGTCCCTCAGGGGTCCATACTGGGACCAGTGCCGTTTAAAATTTTCATCAATGACTTAGTGATATCGAGTGCAACCTCAGCAACTTTGCAGATGACACCAAGCTTAGTGGTGCAGTGGACACACCAGATGGACAGGATGCCATCCAGAGAGACATTGACAAGCTCAAGAAGTGGGCCTATGTGAACCTCATGAGGTTCAACAAGGCCAAGTGAAAGGTCCTGCAAGTGGGTCACAGCAACCCCCGCTATCAACACAGGCTGGGGGATGAAGGGATTGAAAGCAGCCCTGCCGAGAAGGACTTAGGGGTGCTGGTGAATGAAAAGCTGGACACGAGCTGACAATGTGCACCTGCAGCCCAGAAGGCCGATCGTATCCTGGGCTGCGTCAAAAGAAGTGTGGCCAGCAGGGTGAGGGAGATGATTCTGCCCCTCTGCTCTGCTCTCATGAGAACTCTCCTGGAGTCCTGTGTCCAGCTCTGGAGCCCTCAGCACAGGAAACACATGGACTTGTTGGAGTGAGTCCAGAGGAGGGACACAAAGATGATCCAAGGGCTGGAGCACCTCTCCTAGGAGCAAAGGCTGAGAGATTTGGGGCTGTTCAGCCTGGAGAAGAGAAGGCTGTGGGGAGACCTTATAGCAGCCTTCCAGTACCTGAAGGGGCCTATAGGAAATATGGGGAAAGTATTCTCAGCAGGGCTTGTAGCAATAGGACAAGGAGTAATGGCTTTAAACTAAGGGAGGGTAGATTTAGACTGGATATGAGGAAGAAATTTTTTATCATAAGGGTGGTGAAACACTGGAACAGGTTGCCCAGAGAGGTAGTGAAGGCCCCATCCCTGGAAACATTCAAGGCCAGGTTGGATGGGGGTCTGAGCAACCTGATCTAGTTAAAGATATCCCTGCTCACTGCAGGGGAGTTGGGCTAGATGACCTCTATAGGTCCCTTCCAACCCAAAGCATTCTCTGATTCTATGAATGTTATCACGTCCGACAAGGCTGTAAGCATGATGCTTTGCATCCAAAAGCTGTAAGAGAAGGATAGTAGGGGCATTTTCTTGTCTCAGTGATGTTTATATCTAATAAATCTTGATTGTGCAAAAAGTTTCAAAAGGTTAGGAGAATGCTAAACATGCCATTGTTTAAAGAAAGAAATAGTTTACACCAGTAACAAAAAAGCTGTCTGCTCAGGACTGATGCTAGGCTACGTCAGACAGAAAAAAGTGATACGGGATTCAGATGATCATGAACAGCACTGTAATGCATGTCACTCAGTATTTTAACCCAAAGTGGGCCATTTCAAACAAACTTTCTTTCATTTTTAGATGAAATGGCGTACATTTATTTGACTGAGCATTATTTCATACAATTACAAATGGCATTAAAGGGGAAATAACAATGATAAAATGGTCAGCGAACTGACTCAGGTGAGAAAACAGACAAAAATACCAAGGTGAATGGTGTTTCCCTGATATTTTTGGATGAAGAAAAGATGTCGTCTCTGGAAGATGCAATTTAGTCAAAAATATTTTATTCATTCGACATTGTCACACCTTTTTGCACATCCTATTTTAAAAATGCAAGGTAGAAACAGGTACTTAAATACAACTTTGGTACTGGAAAAAGGCATAGCTAAATTTGAAAATAAACAAAAATTGTTTTGAAAGCACTCAAAGGATTCTGTAAATGGAACTCATCTGATGATTTAAAATTTTCCTACCTATTATCAGTGAGTTTCAAATCTTTGCTCAAAATGAAATACCTTTACGTTCAGCTCATTTTACACAAAAAAAGTGGATGAAGATACACTGAAAATCTAGGCATTCAAAACATATAGAAGAACTCCTAAGTACTTTTACTGTGTGAAACACTTACAAATTGTTGCATTTGGAACAATGAAGTTTAACAGACTGATAGAGCTTCTGGGGTTTATAACTTCTCAGCTTTGCTCTAATGCGATACTGTTGAGGAGCCGTGCTGTTCAGAATGGTTTTCAGTTCTGTGTTACTCAAATCCTGATGATCTGTTAATACTGCAAAATAACAACACACACGAAAAAAAACCCATCCATACCTATCAAACACCATAATATTTGGAATATGGGAAATTGCCATTGCAGGTATGCATTTTCCCTTAATTCCCAGCTTTCTCTGTCCTCCCCAGCTGCAGCCTCAGTTTTATCAGTACAAAATGCAGATACAGTCCTTCGGATAAATCACAACAGGCTGTGGGAACATGGTGTACTTCAGCACACAGAAATTCAACATGTAGAAAAAAACAAATCAAAGTAGAATACGCTGTATTCCTTTAAAAATGGAATAAACCCAATGCAACATTTATAAACTTCTACGCTTACTTACCATACTAAGAGCTATTCTAAAAGATATTATTCCAACCTTTAAGCTGAGGTCTCAAAAACATTTTTGTTCTTTAGTAAAAATAAAATTCACCTTCAGGTGAAAATGTTTCCTACCTGTAACAGATAACTGCTGACATCTCTGTAAGTGGGATTCAAGATCTAAAATCAAGCAGAATTTCCTAATTATTTTCCTCCCTTCTTTTCTCCTTTATCATGTGGACACACAAAACAGACAGATAGACAGACAGATGCACACACAAAACAAAAAAGCTGAACAAAGGAAAATGGAAGTCCTAATGATACATGAAAACAATATAGCAAAAGGAAAAAACAACGTAAGCAGGAGACAAACATCAGATATCAAGAGTTAATATATTTGAGGAGAAATTAGTGCCTACATTAAATAGCAATGACCAGCAAAATGAACACTTTTCAAATGTATACTGTGAATGGTACTGCTGACATAAACAATATTCATACCTCTGTAATCTTTCTGGACAAGAGCACAAATACATTATTCTTAAAAAAAATGTGGACTGCCTGATCCCTCCTCTGAACAATCTCTACTACACATACACAATGCAGTAAATCTGCATAAAATTCTAAATGTGCCATGTTTTGGTCTAGACATGAAGCATTTATTTATTCTTGACTTTTGCACACTTATAGAAATATTCTGTCACAGTATGTTACTAATGGCTAAGTAACATAACATTGTAAAAGCTAGAGGGGTAGTGAAGGCCCCATCCCTGGAAACATTCAAGACCAGGTTGGACAGGGCTCTGAGCAAACTGCTCTAGTTAGCGGTGTCCCTGCTCGCTGCTGGGGTGTTGGACTAGATGACCTCTAGGGGTCCCTTGCGACCCAAAACTTTCTATGAGTCTATGATCCTATGATTCTATGCAGACTATGTCCAACTAGCTTTAGGGTTTTATTCACTTTTAGTTATTCTTATTCTGGGCTAAAAATGCCATTAAAAGAATAATATAGGCAGTTCTACAGATCCGATAAGATACTACTTTTCTATGCAGCTGCACCTTGCAACTCTGACACTGACACAACTTTCCATCCAACAGCTTTAGAAGGGCTCCCCAACAAGCAGCTGTTCAGTGTGTTTTCAGTGCTTGTTTCTGAGAAGTCCCCCTTTAGAGAGAGGGAGTTCTGTCACTCTGTTTTATGATCTAATATAGTATGATTAAGAACACCATCTTTGTTTACTTTATTCACTACCTCCTATGAAAGTATTTTTCCATGTATAAGAAAGGCTTGTGCTGCGAGATAGAAGGACAGGGTAATGTCAATTTCCAGTCTCATAATTCAAAAGAATTCTCTAAGGTTTTGCATGTGAAAATAACATTTTACACTTAAGAGAAGCAATAACTGTGACATTATCTTGACCATATATATGTTATAAAAAAGAGCAAATTAGCTTTCAATTGCTCTTACCTGTAACGTTGTTGAAAGTGCCATCTAATTCCACTGAAGACATGCTTTCCATATTCTGACTCTCTGCCAGAGCCACAGATTCTAAGAATCTAAAAATTAACAGCTAAATGTTTTATAACCCAGAGAAGTCTTTCATATCTATATATGACTATAAATACACACTTATATGAAACCTACCGTTTATCAATAGACAGGTAATATGTTCAGACGTAAATTTTCCAGCAGAGACACAAAACTCAATTAAGCCAGAAGCTGCAGAAGTGTATATTAATCATGCACATGAGATACTCCTTTCCAACTCACTTCTGGAGCTTTAAACAAAACATAGTGCCACAATAAAACTGCACTACTGGAAACAGAATTCCTGATAAAGAAACGTGGACTTTGGTTACCTAGCCTTTCCTTATGTGTATAACGCAGTTCAACAAAGCATTTATATGCTTCATTTTTAATATCTTTTAAGTCTCACCATTTCCAAGTAACACATATACACATGCTTAAAATGTGCTCAATTTATTTGCTTAACCATAGCTTTTATCTTTAAAAGATTATATACCACTATAAAACAGAATAAGTATGTTAATGTGGCCAGGTCTTATTATTACAGCACTACGAAACAGAAATCTTAATCTCTACTGTACTTTCAATTTAAAAAATTAGCCTTTATTTACCAATCCCCCCACATACTTACTCTTCATCTTAGTGGTGCGAAAGACATATTCTGTTCCAGAGTTTCTGGTTCTTACATACATTTACAATTCTAAACTGTACAGTTTTTCCATTAGCCTAGAGTTTTCTGGAATCATCTAGAAAAAAATCCTACATAGAGAACTTACGCTTTTAGTTCCTTAACATCCGGGTTACTATCTGGTAAGACTCCTATTCCTCGACCGTAACAGGTGCCACCATGAAGATGAAATTCTATATCGTCAGCACTTGCTTGTTTCGTATGAATACTGTAAATTCTCAGAAAACTTCCAAGCTTAAAGGAAAAAAAAAAAAAATCTGATAACACAAAGTTAGCTATTTACTTGGAAAATTCTAGGCCTCATAAAGCTTTTTCCCTGTTTTCACCGAATCACAGAATTGCTGAAGTTGTCAGGGATCTCTGGAGATTGCCTAGTCCAACACCCATGCCCAAAGCAGAGTCAAATACAGCAGGTTTCTTAGGGCTGTCTCCAGCTGGGTTTTGAATATTTGCAAAGATGGAAACTCCAAAACCTCTCTGGGTGACCTGCTTGTTTTTCTTTATCAGACAACATTACTGGCAGCAAAGGCTGGCTCAGAACCAGCATAAGCCTTCTTACAAAATTTGATTCTCAAGCAGACTTAAGAAGACAGATCAAACGAGCCAATATATTCCTTTCCTGAGGGCACAATTTGTCTTCTATATTCACAAAACAGCTCTCCAGGGACTGATGTGCTGTGATTTGTCCGTGTATGATCGCACTCAGCAACTGACCTCATGTCCATCATCATGCACGGCATGTTTCTGCTTCTGTATACATGCAAACACATCTGCTTACCCAGATTTCTTTATCATACCTTACTCTCATATTACAGATAACACTTTTTCAGCACAAGGATAAAAGGCAACACGTGTTAGAAATTCAAAGATTTTGGCACTGTTCCTAAATCTATTAGATTTTCTCCTCAGGTACATGGAGAATATGCTTCTTGTTTTGCTTAGAATTGCTCTGTGTTCTCTGAAGCAGTTTTGTCAAGTTACACAGACGGACTTAGGCTAACTTATTCAAGTGCCTATTAAGAAAGAAGCTACAGTGTGCTGAACATCAAACATCTTTATAACTTTGCTTTTATCTCAAAATACCAATCCCATTATCCCTTCCCCCTACCCGCCCAAAAAACCCAAGCCAAAACCAAGGTTCTAAAGGTGGATAAGCTGGAGACTTAATTATGTAGTTAATTATGCTTTGATGTGTTTTAAAGGCCTTTGAATCAAATTAACTAACACCCAAATATTTTTTTTAAAACATAACCTCAGATCCAGCAGATAGCTGGCAAGCTACACACATTCAATAACCTGGATTTATGTTCTCTCTAAGTATCTTTTAAATAGCTCTATATAAATGATAAATTATTTGAAATTGAATGCAATTAACATTAATATTACAGCAGCCACTCTGTTAAGTCTTATTTCAGCTTCAGCTCCTGCTTTAACCAGTAGGAACCTAAAACATATTCGTTTTAGACTGGATTGGCCAGGTCTTAGTATGACACCTATAAATGTATGTATATATGCATAAAAGCAGACAGAGCAGCATCTTGATTCTGGAATCCTCTGTATCAAGGAACAGACTATGACTATATAATGCTGGTATCAAACTGCTCTTTCAAACAATAATCACACAGAGTATGTTTTCAAATTCAGGCACCAGGGACATAAGAAGTACACTTCAGCCTGCACCTATTTTGCTTCTGGCACGTAGCTCTTACCAGAGTTTTAATTGATCTGCACCATTAGGGGCTGCTCATTTTGTTCATTCAAAGGATATCAACAGGACAGCTTCTGCATTTAGATGGCAGTAAGAGGATTATCTGGAGGTTTTTTATTTTTTTTTTCTTTCCAGATGTTATATTTCACTTAATCATGTTGAATATCCAAAAATGCAAGGGACAGTCACATTATAAAACTAACCTAATGACTACAACAAATGCTTTTGGAGAAAGTTTTTTTAAAAGTTCTTACCTAAGTTCTGCTTATCAAATAACCTTATGTCAATATAATACTGCCAAACTCTGTTGTTTTTTTTTCCCCCAAGAGCAATTTGTATATAAGCAGTAAAAAGTCGATTATAATTGAAGGGTTTCCTTCTTTCAAAAACAATCTATTAAAAAAAAAGTATTTACTAGCTGTACAAACATAAAACATTAAACACGGGAGAGGAGAGCTCAGAAGCCAATAATACAAAATGCTGGTTTTGCCTTCTAAACTTGTGTGCTGAAATTCATGCAAAAGTCAACCAAATTACTTGTTTTAGTGTAACACTCAACTTCCCAAGATTCATGATCACTATAAAAATATATCTTCCTACACATGTATTTTATTAGATCTCTTTTCTGAAAATGTTATTGTTGTATATATTTTAATATCACTTAGAACCTCAGAACCATACTGAAGAGACGTGTTACGATCAGCATTGCCAAACACTGCCTGTGCAAGCCGGCGTGCAGTTTCCGTGCGTGCCTTCAGAAGGCAGCATTGCCCACCGCGAACAGCGGCCAGCAAACGGCGGTGCTACGGCTAAAAATGTTACCGCATTTCTGGTCTGCCCAGAATGCCTGCTGGCCGAGCACTTCATATATTTGACTGAGAAGGAATTACAATCCACATTAAAGTAAACACTGAGATTTACAGAGCCATCAATAAAATCTAGTACAAAGCCAACTCCTTACTTGACTTTACAGCAGTTCTGTTTATGAACTACCTATTTAGAGAAAGTTCATTTAAAATGAAATTAAAGCAATAGAACACATTTCTTGCAGTAATACAAAATACAATAATACCCTATTTGCAGTCCAATTCAAATATGACTATTTTAAAAATACATATTAAGGCTAAAAAGAATTAAAATGAAGAAGTCACATACGCAGTTCCCTTTAACTAGCCAACTAAAACAACTTTTTAGCATAGCAAATGCTCATAATTATTTCAAAACATATAGGGTTGTGTTCACATTTAAGACACCGATGAATTTGGAATGGTCATTTATCATGGCAGCTAAATGTTCACGTTTGGCTAGAAAGACACTCATGACAAGAGGCTGTCTTTATAGGAATCACTTCACAAAATCTGTAAAAATTTTTATGCCTATTTTATGGTTGAGGATATTCAATGAGATGTCTTTGTTGTCATTTTATCATATTAACTGTCTAATTTTACTGAATAAATTGTGCATAACTTTTTGAAAACGAGAAGCATTATATACATAGCATTTGAGTGTGGTCCCTTGCAATAAAAATTATCAACTTAATCCATCAAACGGTTTGGAGGACTTGGGGGTGGGATGGGGGGGTGTTGCAGTTTGGTTTTTTTTTTCCTTTTAATAAGTACAAAGACAGAAGGGGGGAAAATACCACTGACAGGTCAAAGGAATGCTACTCAGGTCTGAAAAACATGCAGCTAGATATTACAGCCATGTAACTCATTTAAGTTGCAGGTTGTAAATGTGACTCTCACACTAGAAAAGCAAGCAAGACTTCTTAGTCCAAATGATATAAAAAAAGACATGACATTGTACACAGCAGGAGGAACAGCTGAAAATACTCAAATTCTGCATCTGAAGATGCAGATGGATGAAGAGCCAAATGAGAGCTTATGGGTCAGGATTAAAGGGAGGGCAGGGACAGATGACATTATAGTGGGGGTCTGCTACAGGCCCACCTGATCAGGAAGACCGAGTGGATGAAGCCCTCTGTAGATAGATAGGAGCAGCCTCGCGTTCACAAGCCCTGGTCCTCATGGGGGACTTGAAGCACCCTGGTATCTGTTGAAGCAACAACACAGCAAGGCACAAGCAATCCAAGAGGTTCCTGGAATGCGTTAACGAGAACTTTCTTCTCAAAGTGATAGAGGAGCCAACGAGGAGAGGTGTTATGCTGAACCTTGTTCTCACCAACAAGGAAGGGCTGGTGGGGAATGTGAAAGTCAAGGGCAGCCTTGGTTTCAGTGACCATGAAATGGTGGAGTTCAATATCCTCAGGGCAGCGAGGAGGCTGCACAGCAAGCTCACTACCCTGGACTTCAGGAGAGCAGACTTTGGACTCTTCAGGGATCTGCTCAGTAGAGTACCATGGGATAAAGCCCTGGAGGGAAGAGGGCCCCAAGAAAGTTGGTTAATAGTCAAGGATCACATCCTCCAAGCTCAAGAGTGATGCATCCCAACAAAGAGGAAGTCAGGCAAAAACGCCAGGAGGCATGCGTGGACGAACAAGGAGCGCATGGACAAACTCAAGCACAAAAGGAACCCTACAGCGGGTGGAAGCAAGGACAGGTAGCCTGGGAGGAATACAAAGAAATCGTCTGAGCAGCCAGGAATCAGGTTAAGAAAGCTAAAGCCTTGATAGAACTAAATCTGTCCAGGGACGTCAAGGGCAACAAAAAAAAGCTTCTATAGGTATATCAGTGATAAAAGTAACACTAAAGAAAATGCGGGCCCTCTCTGGAAGGAAATGGGAGATCTGGTTACCCAGGATATGGAGAAGGCTGAGGTACTCAATGACTTATTTGCCTCAGTCTTCATCAGCAAGTGCTCCAGCCACACTGTCCAAGTCGCAGCAGGCAAAGGCAGCGACTGGCAGAATGAAGAACTGCCCACTGTAGAAGATCAGGTTTGAGACCATCTAAGGAACTTGAAGGTGCACAAGTCCATGGGACCTGATAAGATGCATCCATGGGTCCTGAGGGAATTGGCAGATGAAGTTGCTAAGCCACTATCCATCATATTTAAGAATTTGTGTCAATCCACTGAAGTTCCCAATGACTAGAAAAGGGGAAACATAACTACCATTTTTAAATGTCATCTCCCTGCCATCTCAATTTTAAATGCCATCTCAAAGCATTTGACACTGTCCCGCATGACATCCTTGTCTCTAAATTGGAGACACATGGATTTGATGGTTGGACCACTCAGTGGATAAGGAATTGGCTGGATGCTCACACTCAAAGCGCTGCAGTTCACGGCTCAATGTCCAAGTGGAGACGAGTGATGAGTGGTGTTCCTCAGGGGTTGTTGGTATTGGGAGCAGTGCTGTTTAACTTCTTTGCTGGCAACATGGACAGTGGTATTGAGTGCACCCTCAACAAGTCTGCTGATGACATCAAACTGTGTGGTATGGTCTACACGCTGGAGGGAAGACATGCAATCCAGAGGGACCGGGACAGGCTTGAGAGGTGGGCCTGTGTGAACAACTCATGAGGTGCAACGAGGCCAAGTTCAAGGTCCTGCATATGGGTCGGGACAATCCCAAGCACAAACACAGGCTGAGTGGTGAATGGATTGAGAACAGCCCTGAGGAGAAGGACTTGGGGGTGCTGGTTGACAAGAAGCTCAACATGAGCCGACAACATGCACTTGCAGCCCAGAAAGCCAACTGTATCCTGGGCTGCATCAAAAGAAGCGTGGTCAGTAGGTCCAGGGAGATGATTCTGCTCCTGTGCTCTGCTCTGGTGAGAGCCCACCTGGAGTACTGTGTTCAGCTCTGGAGCCCTCAGCACAGGAAAGACATGGACCTGTGGAGCACATCCAGAGGAGGACCACAAAAATGATCAGAGGGGTGGAACACCTCTCCTAGGATGAAAGGCTGAGCGAGCTGGGGCTGTTCAGCCTGGAGAGGACAAGGCTTCAGTGAGACCTTATTGCATGCTTTCAGTACCTGAAGGGGGACTGCAAGAAAGCTGAAGAGGGACTTTTGATAAGGGCATGAAGTGATAGGACAAGGCATAATGGCTTTGAACTAAAGGAGGGTAGGTTTAGATTAGAGATAAGAAAGAAATTCTTTACTACGAGGGTGGTACAGCACTGGAACAGGTTGCCCAGAGAAGCTGTGGATGCCCCATCCCTAAAGCGTTCAAGGCCAGATCGGATGGGGCTTTGAGCAACCTGGTCTAATGGAAGGTGTCCCTGCCCATGGGAGGGGGGTTGGAACTAGATGGTCTATAAAATCTATAAGGTTCTTTCCAGCCCAAACCATTACATGATTCAGAAAATGCATGGCAACACAAAATTGATGGTATCAAGCCATAAGAGGAATGCACAGTACACTGTATTAAATGAATGACAGTACATAAGGAAATCTCCAACCAGCTGTGGACAGCTGGAGCCCTACTGTGCACTGACCGACCACTGATACTTACTCACCATGATGCTTACCATCTAGCAAAATGCCCCAGATGGAGAAACCCACCTATTCCTGAGTTGTATGGCAAGATCAGTGAATCCTGAGAACCTCTGGAAAAACTGGAATGAGGAAGGCTGAATAATAACAATCTACACAGAGCAACTGTACTCTGAACAGTTAGTTGCAGGCTGGGGTTCCTATAGTAACAAGAAAGTCTCACGCGTCCCAGGTAGCCAGAGGACGAGGGAAATTTGGGAAAAAGCAGTGAACACTATTGTCTTTGCTTAGTTGTAGCTCTTGGATGTGTCTTTATGCCCCAGTAAATAATCTAGTTCAGAGATGAGATTTCTGAATATTCTGTTTGTGTTCTGCTAAGGCAGCAAATGCTGAAAAGCCACAATCTTACCCAGCAGGAAAGGGAGGCCAATAAATACAGCAGACAAAAGGTCTACTTATGGTATCAACTGCAGTGTACCTTCAATATTACTAAAGTTCTCTCCATTGAAAACTGTAAATATTATTGGACTGCTTTGGAAAATGGGATAAAATACTCTTATCTACAGTGTTCTCAGGATAGACAATCCAAACAAGGAGCTTTTAACCAACTCCTGCATGAATATCCCTGAGAGTGTGCTCCAGGATTTAGCAAAAATTCACTGTAACACATTACCCACTTTCTCTAGACTGTAGTGTAGTGCTTACTCAGAGTTTCCTTGTCTGAACATGCACCTAAAGATTCAATTTTAAAATAAGAACAAATATTTCAGGGGTTTCATGGTCTGTGTTTTTTTTTTTTTCTCCTCTTCAGTCTGGCCTGCTTGGTCTCAAGGCTGTGTAAACCAGATGGTTCCTATGTAAAACATCATTTCAGAGCTACAACTGTCATTGCAAGTGGTACACAACAATGTGGGAGAGTGTAATCTAACAATTCAATAGCAACTTACATTTAAAAAGGTAATTCTAAGCTACTGTCAAATGCAGAAGAGATGGCTGAAAAACCGCACTTTCATTGTTTCTGAAACCACAAACTGGCAAAACATCTAGTATAGTTTCTGTCCACACTGTTCTGTTCTCACTTGGGAAGGTGCACATGCACACACTACATGCTCTCCAGTTTTATAATTCTACATAAATAAATTTTCTGAAAAAATCTTTGCATAACAAGATCCTGAACTAAATAAAATATTATACAGATTAATAGATTTCAACTATACTTTCTTACAATATGACATGATCTCCACTACTGTTTAAAACCAAATCTTTTAATAAATCTTCCATTTCAGGAAAAGTACCTCAAAATTTTACTATCTTTATAGTATTCTGTGAAATAGCATTAATTGCACATATTGCTACCTGAACTTAATAAATCTTCCTGAAGTTTAATGGTTAGGATATCAGCACTTGTTCTGCAATAACTCCACTAAGACAATCCAATAAAAAGCGGTGTTCAAAAACGATCTAACTTAAAACTTCTGCAGCTTGCATGAGTGAAACTACTGCAACTTTGGACATAGTCAGGAGGAGAAAAACAGCCTGTGTTGCTCAGGAGGTCAGACCAGGTTTCATAACAGTTCACACTGACATTAGAGCTTCTGCTACACAGTGCAGTATCCAGCAAAGGCACAGATGCTTTAGCAGGAAGAAAGAAAGGGCTTACAGGAAGGAAAAAAATGGAGAAGACATCCCATTTACCACATATTCAATAGGAATTCCTGAATATAAATAGGAAAGTGTAATAAAGGCAGTATCATCAGCTACTCAAGAAAATACATTTTATTAATATTAAAATATTTTTTCTCTTAAATCTCAAAACACATTGCTTCACTGGAACATCAGCAGTTATTTACATCAATAGATTACACCAGTTAGAAAGAGAAAAATTCTGGAAGAGAACCTGTAAATAATGAAATACTTCTGTGAGTAAGTTTTGTTATGACTTTTTAAACAAAGGCAAGTTATTTTGCTATCTGATATTTACTTACGAAAGGGCATTAATATATCAAATTGATTTCATGTCTGCTGATAGCCCCAGCCTAACAAATGGCTATCACTTATCTTTATTTTCTGGTAAACACTTTCTTGAAAACGATGCTTGGGTATAGAGGGCAAAGCATAAAATGAAAGATGTATTCTTTGCTAATCTACTGTATTCAGAAGCAAGATGGCAGTATTGCTGAAGATCAAATGTTTAATTATGTTGTTTTCTCTGTCTAAGCACAATCGACATTACTGACCCACTAAATGAAGATTGCACTGCAAATTGCAGAAGTTTACAGAACAGAAAATCTTTTATTGACTTTAGAATTATAGGCCTTTAATGGGACTACAAGTTTAACCCCACTTTATATCATTTAAAAAAAAATATAATTCTAAAGCATAAAATACATTTTCTGAGTGCATTATTTTCACAGGATTACATATGATATTACAGAGTCTGGAAAGAACTGCTTATTGGAAGAATTATTTTCATGGTAATTTTAGGATAATGAGGCTGTTTTACATATGTTGAAAGAGTTTTGCACTCAAATAAAAGGTATGGGAAATACAGTGAAAGATAGAGGAACATTTGAAACTAACTCACAGCAGAACTGAATTGATACATTCTCTGAAGTGAGTTCTAAGCAGAAAATAGGCCACAAAACCAGAGTTAGAAATACCAAACTCTGCATTACCTTAAGTGATTTTGCCAGTTGTACGTGGTTATCATAGACTAGAATATCCACCGTCAGGTTTCGCAGCTGATGAAGAAGAACTTTTTCTCCTTCCAGGTCTCTTGCTTCCACAGGCACCTTCCATGTTGGGTAGGGACACTTTGTGCCATCCCATACCTGCAGTACAAATTCATGATTTCAATATGCTCAGAAAATTCCAGATTAAGATTTTAATTATTTTTAAAATAAATTTGTTGTTTGACCAAAAAATCATAACAATAAGAAATCTTAATTGGAGTCTTAGTCTTCTTGTCCTTAAATTACTTTAACTAACTCTTATGAGAATTTTTTTTTTTAAATTATTATTGTTCCTTACAGAGTATAAAATAACCTCCATAGAGAATATGATCAAGAGTTAAGACCTGGGACTTGTTAATATTTAAAAAAAAAACCCACCCAAAACCAGTGCTAGCAAAACCTCAACTGTTTATCTAGCAGTTGCAACTATTAGAATTCATCATACGCAGAACCATACATATGAAAATATTTTAATCCTGCTGTAGGTTTGTTTTAACGACTCCAGCTACAGTATGGGATGACTGAGTACACAGCATACACTTCCTTAATTACTGATGATCTCCTACATCAGCATACACTGCTAGTTATCCAAAACACATTAGAAAAACATCAGTATTTAACATCTACTTAATTACAAGGATTCTAAAAATTGATTGCCTAAAGCTAAGTTCTTGATACACTTAAGTATTGAAATATCAATAGAGTTATTTTTGAGCTATCAGTTATTATAAAAAAGTAAGATTACCAAGACTTAGCACTTTGGAACCAAAATCTTATTACTTAAACATTAAAATTTCAGTGACAGCTGCTTATGAAATATTCTGTAAACTCTGGTTTCCTGAGTTCCTGAAGATATGCTCTTCTCAAAGACAACAGAAATAATGGTCTGAAATAGTGGCATAGAAAAAAAAAAATCTAGAGGCATTTGGACTGTAAGACTGAAATTCTGCATTTCATAGGATTTCATGCATATAGTTCAACAGAAGCTAATTTTCAGACAATTTGTGATAACAAGGCATTTTGTCTCATGAGTTGGGCACTGCAGAGGTGGAGAAAAAGAGACACCAAAGCTTAATTTTGAAACGGTTTCTACCCCTTATACTTAACTGCTGTGGATCAAAGGATCCACAGGAAAAGATCTAAGAATCAGCAAAGCCATGTGTAAATACACTGAGCACAACTCATGGTTGAAATACTCATCCCAAATCAAGAGATGAAAGGGAAAACTGTTCACAGTGCAAATGACCCATAACATCAAATTAGTGTTCCCAAAAAAGAGTGTATTCTGAAGGACCCTGATAATGAGGTGCTACATGCTGCCACAGATTAAAGAAAAGTTTATTATCTTCTGATCCTGTACCGTGAAATGCTTAAAACCACCTTTGAAAGAGAGGTTGCCTATTGCTTGAATTATCAAACCTTTTCCAGAACTGAGCTTACGAGAAACATAGATCTGATGCATATATAATATGAATTTAGTCACTTTGACAAAAGACAGAACCTTAAGTGTGTCAAGTTTTCCATTATTTTTCAACTGGTTTTACCTGGGACACTGTGACAGTTCTACGCTTAAGAGATGGATCAAATGGATTGAAATAACCTGAATGATCCCTGCCAGATAACAAGGATGACTACTTAGTTTACCACAGGAACTGATAGGGGCTAGCGTTAGGGCACCTCTTGGAGGAATTTGAAAAAAAAAAAAAAAAAAAAAGAGACACATCCTTAGAAAACTAGTTGGTTTTGGTTGTCACTTGCACAAATATGAAAACAGATCAAGCTCGCTACCTCAGGAGCTTGCCAGCTTCACTTTACTCAAATTATGTATGACAACACAGAAGCCCTGGTATCAAAACCCAACACCAATTCAATTAATTATGAATAAGCAACAGCAAATGGTTCCGTTACTAGTCATGAACAGGCTGCAGCTAAGAGTAGTTAGTGACAACCTTTGATCACCATGGTCGACAAAACACTGAAATGGGAGAGACACAAGGAAACCTGTTACTTCAGCAGAGTGTGCTGATTGTACGGCACAGCTTAATGTAGGGAATTTAACTGACAGAGAGACGGAAAGAAAAGAATAGTAGTAAAACTCTTATTAAAGGCATAAATGAGACAATAATTTCTAGTGTGAGGTTTTTAGTCTCCACTAGTTTGAATAACAAAATTCTCAGAAAAAGGGAAGCACTAGGAAGTTAGCAATACCATCTTTATGCCATGTCAGCCTCAGGGGCTTTGCATATCCCAATTAATTTATCAAGTGTAATATTAAAAGTTATGCTACGGGTGATGCAGAAAATCACTCAAATTCATTGTAGTTGTCTTTGAAGCAATCTTCACTAGTTACATGAGCTCAATGCTTAAAATACTCGTTATATAAAAAAATAATAATAGTAATGTTTAATGATCATTCAATTTGAGCTGGTATTGAATTTGGGTTTTCTTTTTGTTTGTTTAGCAAATCAACAAAATAATCAGAGATCTGTCTACAATTTTTCAAAAAAGCTTCTCTTCTATCATGATCAACATTCGTTATGAGAAAGGGATTTTGCTATGCTTGAAAAATAGAGGAAATTAGCAACAGCATACCAATGTTAATCTACCATTTTTAAACTTGTCTGATGTATTTTAACACAAATTTAAGTATTTTATATTTTTACTACTAAAAAGATACACCATCAAAGGAATTCACGTATCAGAAAAATTGATCTACCGTCATTTGATTTCAAACTTTTACCTTCCAATGTCTATCCCAAGTTTTTCCTCCCAAGTCATTATCTTTACTATGCAAAACTGACAAAATCAACTTCAGATCTTATAACACAGAAAAGAGTGTAAAGAAATATTAATAATTTAAGAAAGCACTTGTCTCTGTCCTTGCAAAGGGTCCTTCAATGCTGAACATATTAACAAACAACTTAATTACAGTCCACAAAGTTCTGAAGCTTTACTGGGTCTCATTTGACATCTATTTCACAAGGGATAATTAAATTGAAATATTTGTAACAGCTGCAAAGCATATTACAGGATGAAAACGAAGGTTTATTTCTGTGTAGTGCATGCATTCTGCACAAGAAAAATCTTTGTTGCTTTAATGAAGGAATAATGCAGTGTGCTAATTCTAAATATGTTGTAACAATACAGCTTAATACAGTAGAACTAATAAATAATTTTATGAAGTCATAAAATGGAAAATAACAGGCTGTTCATTGCTCACATTTTAATAATCAACTTATAAAAGAAGGAAAAAGAAATACAGAGGAGTTTCAGAATCACACCAGACTGATACATCTGAAACTAAACCCAGGAAAACTATGCCGACCTCCTTTTTATTTAGCTGATGCTAAGGATCACCCTTGGAAAGTACTCTCCTGTTGTCTGGCACTTTGCATTTTGTACTTTCAGTGAGTACTGATCCCCAAAGCGCTTATAAGAAGCTTCATAAAATCCATCACGATAGATAACATTATCCATTCACTCTTTTTCTAGATAGTGCTACTTACTGCATTAATTACATCCAGCAGATCTAGAAAAACAAACAATAATTGCTGCTTACTAAAAAACAAGTTTAAATTTAAAACTAACTATATTTTTCAACTTTAAGAAATCTTACGACATTTATCTACAAATGTTTGTGAAACAATGATTCACACCAATGCCATCTTACAAAACCTCCCTAAAGAAATAAATCAGATGAACAACTTTAAAGAGAACTGGGATTTCTGTTTTGTTTTCATAGAAATAAAATGCTCAAGGATCAAAAATTTGCTTAACCTTGAAATATTTATCTACATAACATTATTTAAATAAATGAATATGTCTGTTTTATCAAAAACTGAATCACAGTGACTTAATACATAAATCCAACAAATTATTTTAAAAAATAAATCTACCTTTAGAAGAAAAGAAGATCCATCCACTTTTGCTTTTCCTACCAGCTGGCAAGTAAGATCAAAGAATAGCATTGGCTGAACACCAGACAACTTTGCTGCTGGTCCAGAGATGGAAAGATTACTAGCTGCCCAAACACGTAATTCTTCTATTGTTTTTTGTTCTTCATCCATAAAAGTGTACACTTTGCTAGATGTTCGAGGAACTAACGGTGCTCCTACAGTTCCATCAAATGTCAAGGATGCAAATCCCGCACTGGTAATTCCCTGCATCTGTCCATTGTATTCCCTGATCTGTAACAAAATAGGTGTTAAAAAAACCCAACCGTTGCACTGCATCAAAATACTTATACATTTCTGTTTTATTGTGTGCATGAAGAATGGACCATTGATCATTTTTGTTCCTGGTGCTATTAGGAGAATGGTGTCAAAATAAAAACAAAACAAAAAAAGGAAACTAACATTAACAAGAAAATAAAGTGAATAAGCAGAAAATATAATCTAACACAAGAAAAATTTTAAAGAGGCAGACTAATACCTACCTGTACATATACAGCATCAGTGCAGACTATTTTATTCAGAAGTCTCAAAATGTTTGTGGGGAACACATCAGGATTGCTTTTACAGGTGGGGAAACTGAGGCACAAGATAAATTAATTTTTAGGGGTCACAAAGCAGAGCGATGGTGGAGCAAAGTTTTTTATGGATTCTCGTTTGCTGCCTCTCACAGTAGCTCCTGTTTCCTGATATTACAGAACTGAAAATGAAAATACCAGTTCTAGGAGCTATTTTTTTTTTTTTTAGAAAGCAAACAGTGACCAGCTTTCATCCCTTGAATTATGAATACAGCTTTCACAATTACTCTTATGTCTACAGCCCTGCACATGGCAGGTCCCCTGTATCCTGATGATTTAGCTGTGTATCTGCTACCACATAAAACACAGTGTTCAAAGTCTGAAGCCTTCCTTCCAGGATCTAGTCTAGTCTTATTGTTCCCTGCACTATAAATATATCTCAAAGCACTGCATGACTCATTATCCAGAAATCTCAAACCAGCTGTTTTTATCCACCCCCTTTTAATTAAAATTTGCTTACCAAAAAAGCAACATAACATCTGAATATAGCATTTGTGACACAATCTAGTTTAGGACTCCCAGTGCTCAATTTCCAAGTGGCTGAAAATCCTACAGATTTAAAAGTGCAGAATCTGAAAGGTGTGACAGAAGTTCTAAACAGCAACATTTTTTACCAGAACACTGCCAACAATTTAGGCCTATATTTTATAAACACACTGAAATTTAAAAAGCACACAAATCAAGTATTCCTTGGAAATTTATAAACAAAGCAGTTCAATCTTGGTGACAGGAATCCCTGCTACTTTGACATAATGCAGAAATGCATTAAGGACTGCCTCTGGATAAACCTTCATTTACGTAAGGATTCTCCAGACCTGATCAATGGAGCACATCAATTCATGATATAGTTTTTCTTCATTGTAACACTGAAAAGCTTTAGTCTTTTAACCTTTAGCTTTAAATGATGAAAATACAAGAAAAGCCAATGGACAAATCAGGAAAATACATAGTTTCATAATCAATTTGTACCCATTACCCATGATCTGGAAAAAATATTCCACTATAACACTAAGACGTAATCTAATATAAATATACAGATTCACTTTAGTTGCTGCCAGTGCCTTACATTCCATAGCTTCTCAAAACAAGTAACATCTACAAGGGAGGAAAACTCTCTTTCATCACTTTTACTCATTCATCCGCTACCAAAAGGTACTTCAAGCGTATTTTTAAGTTGCATAAACATATCTTATCTGACATGTCAAATATTTCTCAAAGTGTTTTAATTTCCAATTTACCTACTTATTTATTTCTTCACTAATTCTTTTAAATCATCATCAAAATATCTTGACTTCTTTCTAAGAATTTTGTCCTAGACATCTAGCCTATTTATGAGGGCTCTAAACCTTTCAAGAAGTCAGTTCAAGAAATTACTCAGTCTCCCTGGGTTTCCACTAGTATTCCACCACAGACTATTTGCCCCATTTCCCAAATCTTTTATGTCATGTTTTGAGCATTCGTGAGGCTGTGCTTGAACACATAAAATAAAATAAAATAAAATATGTAAGAAAATAAACTTGAAGTGTCATGGTGAGAAAATTACCAAGGAACTTAAAGCAAAACAAAATGTCCTTAAGCAGAGATAGGTATGTAGAGAAGCCACTGAGTGGTCTCAAAGGTAAACAGCCTTCAACAACATTATTTAGCAAACAACTGAACAAACAGGAAAAGTAAATGTAGAATGGGCTACAGAACAAAATATTTCATAGCTGGAAAATTACTTATGTCAGACCCACAGAACAGATGACGGTCAACAGAAATTCTCCGGGCTTCACCTTTGAAAACAAATCATTGCTGAAGTGATGAGGAATCACTGGAGCGTAAAATGAACAAAATCCATGGGCAAATGTTGTTTCATTATGGCATTCTAAGTAGATCTCAGAGCAAGTTAAGCAGTGATACTGTAAACTAGTTATATTTTCCATATACAAATTATTTCGAAATTGAATTCAACTTAGGGAAAAGAGCTAATCTGAGACTTTTGTGTATGATGACAATTCCCCCTCAGTAGATTTTGTGTCATTTCTAGAAGCTTTGGTGATTTTTTTTTAAAATTGAGGTGTGGGGGTGTGGTGGAAAACAGGGAGCCGGGGCAGATGGCTCTGACTTAAAAAATTTCCTGAGAATGTTATATAAATTCAGTTAATTATTGTTGCTAAACAAAAATATCTTCTGGGATAAAAATGGAGCAGATAGCACGTATTTGGCTTATTCTAAGCAGGCAAGTAAATCCCAATACATATTGCAGGAGTCTTTGGCATAGTTTTTATAAATTAAATAACAAAAAGTGAAATGTCACATCAACAAACTGCATTGACAATAAACTTTAGTGATTTCTGTGGTGTACAACTCTGTCCTGAATATGTTTATTGAGAAGAAGCTAATCTTGAAATGTTTATAAATAGATTTACAGCAACCTAAACCAACTGAATTCTTTTTTTTTAATTGAAGCTAGTGTTAGTCACCTCACTCAATGGAAGAGAAAATTGTGATAGTAAGTAGTGTATAAGGCTGGAACAATAGCATCTCCAAGGTAGTTTTCCATCAAAACTGATTGTTAAATTGCAGAAGTAAAGGACTATTATGAAACCAATGCAGTCACAAATCATCTCAGAGTATCAAAAAAATGCCTTGTAAAACAAACTAAGCTAATGTACACGTTCTTATACTAACATTATTATTACACATATAAAATTATTTCAAGACATCAAGATGTGTTGTTGTTTGGAGTTTTAACTTGAATTATTGCATTGTCTGAAATGCACTGTCCAATCTTCTATTCCAATTTGAGTATACATTCACCTGAAGACCTCATTGTAAGGTATCTTTTGCCTAAGCAGAAGTCAAAAACTTATGATCCCTGTGACTCATGGTTGACAACAAAATAATAGAAGATCTATGTTCACATGCTGCTAACCAGTCTTTCCTTAACTGCAGAAATGTAGCATATGTGAGATGCTAGTGAAAAGGAAAGAAAGAGTGCAAATTGTCCACAGGCAATATATCTGCAAGAATTATAGTTACTGTGGTGAGTAGTGTATTCCCCTCAGTCAAGCACATGTATATAAGCACATGCCACTCTGTGTGACACAAACAGGGTTCAGCTGACACAGAAGCAAGATATCTTATGCAAATAAGCAGTGACAAAAAAAGTCCCCTCCTTCTCAAACACAGAATCTGATCACTAGCCTTCAGGAACAAAAAACTTTATAAAGGTATAGACAGGTTTACAAATGGCTGTACTGAAGACTGACACTGTTCAAATACTAGAAGGGTATGGCCCAGTCACAGAACCACAGGAATTCTGGTTGGCAGGGACCTCAGGAGATCATGAAGTCCCACCTCTTCCTCAGGTCAGGACTGTTGTCAGCACTGTGTCACACCAGGCTTTGGCTAGCTGAGCCTTGAAAAATTGCAAGCACAGAGATTTGAGAACCTCCCCAGGTAACCTCCTTCAATAATGCACTACTCTCTTAGTCAACAACCATCCTTGGAAAACCCTCCTTTGCCATATCAAGTCTTACCATGTCTAGATCTGTAAGGTTCCCCAACACTGATTACTAAATATTTTGATTTTATGGAATATTTAAAAAGATCTGTAGGAATTTGGGGAAAATACCTACACATGAATTATATTTCAAGAGAAACTCCATCCAAAAACCTAGACAGGAACTTGGAATGGTGCAAAAAAAAGAACGCAACATACCAGTTGCCACACACACTTGTAATTTGTTCTTATAAATGATGGCTATGGAAAAGGATTTCTTTCTAGAAAACAGAGAAAAAAATTTACCCTATGCGAGGGGATGGGGAATTCCAGGTCAAAGGGATGCCCTTCAATTCTCCCCATTCACTCACCACCTTACACAAAGTTTTAGAGACAGATCACTGCACTTTAAATTGAAAAATGGTCTAGAATAGCAGGAGCAGATACTTGATGGTAAAACACAAACAAATAAAACAGGTTTTCCATTGTGTCAAGACAAAAAAATTAGTTTGCTTAGATAGGTATTTAGCTTATTTCTTTGGGTTCTTTCTTTTCAATTTTTGGCTGCACAGGTAGCCAACGCAGAATGGAATGGCATCTAAGAGCCACTGATCCAAGACAGCATGGGTTTACAGACCTGTCTGAACTGAACCACAGAGCTTTTAAAACTTGGAAACACCCCGTAAGTATTGCTTGCTATTTCAGCAGTGATGGGTTACAAACAAAGGCTGCTTTCTCCTGTTAAATACTATTACTTTACTAGTGGTTCTGACATTTCAAATAAGAAACAAAGCAGAAGCAGGATGAGAAGGTGTCTTGTTGAGAAATTATGTTTATATGGTGAAAAAACTCCCAAAAGAATTGTCCTGAAGTCTTTTAGGGTATAAATGGCATCAAAAATTTCATTCCTAAACAGCCTTTCTATTAAATGGGAGTTGCTCCTTTGGTTTAAGGACTTCTTAGAGAAAAATCAAAGTCCTGGATTTACAATGATTTGTCAGCATTATGATGATTTTTCCCCTCTCAGAGGCTGTCACCACTGAATACATTACACTATGTCCACCATCACCTTCAGTCCCCTTAACTTGTCCCTGTTCCACCAGTGCTGAAACTCTTGAGCTTTACTAGGAATTGCACAGGGCTAAGAAGAGTCTAAAAATTAGAGTAAGACC